GGACACTGGTGTTGACGAAAGTGAAGAAGAAGAAGGAGAGAAGGAAAAAGAAGAAGAAAAAGAGGACGAAGAAGAAGAGAAAGAGGAAGAAGAAGAAGAAGATAAAGAATAGAAACAAGACCGCAGAGCTTCGCTTCGCTCCGCTCCGCGTTCTTGAGTTTTTAGTTACTTAATCTATTTTGTTGTTTCACAACAAACTATTTCTTGGCGAAATGTATTTCATCAAAGTAACTTTGAAGTAATATATTTATTTGCAAAATAAATTACAAGATCTTGGTTTAATTTCTTTTTTGAAATAGTTTAAATTAAATAAATAATATGAGCATAGAACCTAAAATAACTTTAATTCTGTTCAAGACACAGAAAATATTATACGAAAAATTAATGTAATTTTTAAACAACATTTGATAATAAAAATTTGATTGGCGCTTCGAGATATTGTGCACTTATTTGTCGTTACTGCCACTGTTTTAAATTAAATAAAGAATATGAGCATAAAATTCAAATTCACCATAATTTGTTTCATCACTCAAAAAGTATCTAGAAAAAAAATAAGCAGATTAGTAGCTCTACATTTCATGTAGTGCTAATGAATTGCCACCAAATTTTGATGCAGCGTCTTTCGTTTTTCCTGTGTTCTAAAACCTTCTTAATAATATCTTTCTGTTAATAAAAGAAGAAAAAATGCAATAATGGTAAAAAAAACACGGACATTTTTCGTTTGATTTCTTTATTTTCTGTTCGCCTCAGCCTTGTGTTTGAATATTTTGAATCCATTTTAGATTTTCTTGAACCATCAGCGTAATTTCTTGAATTTGTCTCTCGTAAACTTGGATCAATCTCTCTTTGCAATCGACACGGGCTCTCTCTGTGGCGATACGAATTTTCCAGGCGTCGAGACCTTCTTGAAAAAGAGTGGCCAAGAAACGAGCTTGTTCTATTTCAAGGAGGTTGGTGATATCTACATGATTATGACGTTTTTCACGCCAAAAGCGCCGAAACTGTAATCGTTCTAGGCGTCTACTAATTGGCCTCCGATTTGGTCGACGATTTCGTACAGGAGTTGGACTTGGATTTCCTATTGGCGCTACAAACAGAAACGAAAGTTGAAAAATTGCTCGTTTTACAAAATTAAAGTTAATGCAAAGAACATTACAAATCATATATTCAAAGGATAACTGCCTATGTGTAAATTGCTCACCGTTTTTTAAAATTCGACCAAAAGCCATATTTTATTGCTTGTCAAATATCGATATTCAGGAGATGGTTCCGCTTCGACTGTAGTTTTTGTACTGAGAATTGTAAACAATATATTTCCCTTCAACCATGTTTGTAATGCACAATGCGCATTCCAGGACTGGAAAGTGCTATACGCACTAGATACGCACCACTCTTGGAAAGGGGCTGTATGAATGTGTGCGTGCAGAATCAGCACCGACGCAAGATATGACATTACATTGAAAACTGATTCAACCCTCTGCGCTTAGATTTGCATAAGTTATGAATGTGTTGATATGGATTGATTAAAAGAAAAATGTAACGAAAATTAACCAGGAATTAATTTTAACTGAATTGGAACTACGAAAACATTGCACAATTTCATTAATCATGTAAACTGTTCACTTCTGAATATATTAGCCCAAATTGTATTTACTATTGAAATCGAAACAAAGTATTTGATATTTGCCCTGTCAATGGCATTAAATGTGTATTTGATTGTGCAGTGTGCAACGAATTGATGGGTTCATGACTTTGATTCGAAAAGAAATAAGAGCCTATCATTTCGAATAATAAACCATTCATCACTTTCATCGGTGTTGGATAATAATAGCCTTACCTTCAATTTGGCGAACAAGTAAACGACCAGCACAAAATTGGAAAAGTGGATGACTTAACCGCAATGCAAATACAGTGGTTGAAATAGCTCGTTAATAACTTACCCGAAGCGAATCAAAAACGGTGGGCAATTACTAAATAGGCTTGCAATCAAAAAAAGTGGAGTTGCACCTCAATTAGAGATGCACACAAAAGTAGAACCCAAATCAATCGAGAATGAAAGACGCCAATTTTTGTATTCCTTTATTTAAGTTTGAGTTTATTTTTGTGTGTTTTTTTTCTCTATGGAATAATCTTTATTGTATATTTGAAGGTGTGTTTCACAAGTTTTGGGGTTCACAACTGTCTCGAATTGCGTTTAAGTGCTTGTTATTCAATTCAAAATTACAAGAGAATTTGAGTTTTGTATTGAAATGCTACAATTTTAAACTTGATACACGTTTTCATAATTTTCGTAAACATCAGAAGAAGAAAAAAAAATTATAAGTTGAATGAGAACATCAAAACGTGAAAAGAAGCGCCAGCGGTTTTGAAAATGTAATGTTGGTTTTGTTTTACTAAAACGCCCATCTTATGAGAGTTGTCCGCAGTCGGCGATCGTGATGTTCTTCTTTGGTTTCCCGCTTTGGCTGCCAAAGGATTCAATCTTCTTGATAACATCCATGCCTTCAACAATGGTGCCGAAGACGACGTGACGGTTGTCCAACCATGAGGTTTTCACGGTGGTGATGAAGAATTGCGAACCGTTTGTGTTTGGTCCAGCGTTTGCCTGTGAATGATCAAAACAAATCGAAATGGAAATTAGTAAATTGGTTTAATTCAATTCCGTATCGTTCGTGTGTGTGTGTGTGTGTGTGTTCGTTGCTTACCATTGACAAAACACCTGGTCCGGTATGCTTCAAGGTGAAGTTTTCGTCTTCGAATTTGTTGCCATAGATGGATTTGCCACCAGTGCCGTTGTGGTTGGTGAAATCACCGGCTTGGCACATGAAGTTTGGAATGACACGATGGAAAGTGCTTCCCTTGTAACCGAAACCCTTTTCGCCAGTGCACAAAGCGCGGAAGTTTTCGCTGGTCTTTGGTACAACGTCCGGACGGAGCTACAGGGGAAAGAGGGGAAAAACGAGACAACAAACAACAAATTAATATAATGAGTCAATCATGAATTTTGAATGTGCTGTCTTTAATGTCGCGGAGTCATTTATCGCGCAGAAAAAAAAGTGCGGCATTCAAAAGCGGTTTTCCTCCACCATTCGTTTCAATTATTGAACGCCTGTTGATATGCTAATCAATACGATAATTTCTGCTGTAGAAATAATTATGACTTTCAAACCGATGTTGATTGATCGAACGACTCAATCGGGTGTGTGTGTCTGTTTTGGCTACACATATATCATAATAACGGTTTCGAATCGAGTGCCCAGCAAATGAATGCATGAATATAAAACGAGTATTTTTGAGACAGAATTGTTTATTAAACGACTTGCACACTTTGATTACAATTCATAAAATATTGATAACAAACGGCTCAAACACGAGTATTCATTGGCGAATGTTTAGACTGTTATCACGTCAAATCAATTATCGTATTGGGTATCGAAGTACTTGAAAATCGAACGGATTGTACAAGTACAATGTTTACAACCGATTTTTGTCTCGTGAAAAATATCGAAAAATCATTTTTCCAAACCCATAGAATTTTTATCATTTTTCGAATGAAACGAGTTGTTTTTGTGGAATAATTTAACGGATGGTGATTGTTCATTTGTTTCGTCTTTCAGAATCGTTCGATTATACGTATGATGTCATTGACATGTAGAGGAATTGTTATTGCTAAATTGTTTGGTTTGAAATCAATGCCCAAAAATAGCAATACTGTTTCATTGCGGGGATCGATGTGAATCACTTCGTCAAGCCGAAAAGCACGTTTTTGGTTTGAATGCAATAAAGTTAGTCAAAGATAAAAAAATAAATACAGTCGACATTGAAAACCTACGCATGTTGATTTCAACGTGCACGTATAGTCTGCAGGTTTCACCATAATGCATTGGATTTTATAAGAAGAACGAATGCCGTGAACAAATGGGCGCGCTCGTTGTCCATTTACTAAGAGTTGTTGCGTGAGAAAATCAATAGATCAACCTCAACTGGACGTGAAACATTGATTTCTACGTAAAAATAGCGTAAACATATCGATCGAATAGTGGCCGTCGATTAAGAGAATAACACCGAATGAACCACGTTGGAAAATAAATTGGTGTGATCTATATATTACTAGGCATTGGTATGAATTTTTAAAAATATGGAATTGAATTTTTGTCGTTAGTCTCGATCGTGACAAAATGGTCACAATTGTTTTTTTTATAGATAAACCCTTTGCCTCCTGCATCGTTGAATTATTCAACTTTTCCGAAGTAACGACTCAGAAGAATAGGAGTCTCTTCGTTATTCTTTTGCACACAACATTTTTATTTTTCATTTTGTTCTTCAAAGTTTGCGATATCAGCTAAATGGCTCTTCAATAAGTAAGTGGCGGCTAATTGGAATTCTATTGATTTAAAAGTGATATATATTTTTTACTGTCTCTGTGTGCTGTCATTGAATTTGTCACGGCATGAAGAATGTTAAACAATAACAAAATCAATATTTTAAAAGTTTTTAGACACTTTTCCGAAAGTTGTGGAAAAAGTAAACGCCTTTTTGGCTACGGTGACACGACAAGTGAGTCATGTACAGTGGACAATTCCTAGGGGAATTTATGTATTCGCGAATTGACAGGAATTCGCACAATTCGCACGCGTTTTGACTTCAAATTCATTCAAATATTTCACGAATTTTGCGAATTTTTTGCGAATTGGTCAAATCCAAACATTGACAGCTGGCGCCATCTTAGTTATCATTCGCAGTGACAAAGCAGCGAATGTGAACAATTCGTAAAGAATTCGCAGAGAATGTGCGAATTCGTAACAAAATCACAATGAAACGATCGAATTCGATAGGTTCAACTGACATAAAAACCCCTAGGACAATTCGGCATTTAGCCAAATCGATGCCGATCTTAATCGCTTTATTACTATCAGAATTCCAATAATACTATTTGGATTGGTATTCTGAAGGGTTATTTATGCTTCGATATTTATACATACTAATTTAGAAGTCAATAAAATCCAAATTATAGCGTAAAAAATGTAGACACGCAACAACCATCGAACAAAACGAAAGAAGGAAAGAAAAAACAATGAAATCAGTCGATGTACTTTTTTCCCATGCTGTTGTATTCATTACACGAGCACATTGGAATAGAGGTGACTATGTCAATCGAAACTCAAAACGTGACTAAAAAACCAACAAAAATCATAAACACAAGCCAACGGAAAAAAAGGGAATACATCATTACATGAACAACTATGGTTTATTATAGTTGGGTTTGATTTCAGCCACGCCGTCGACGACGACAACAAATGACATTCTTCCCAAACGATACGATTCTCAGAAGAAGAAATAAAATGCTCATTAACTTGGAGTTATGACTTGTTCGGCGGTTGGAAACATGAGCAATGCATTGTATAATCAGCAATCTGGGCATTTGTTTCGGTTGCCGGTAAAAAATAAATCAGTATAGGCTACTTCAATCACCGTTTGATGATGTCGCAGTGAGGAGGAAGTGAAACACTTTGTTCGAATAAAGAAATTAACTTGAAGCATTGAATTGAAAGCCAACTTATTCAAAATTCTTTGATTGAGTTAATGAAGAATAATATTGTCAGAATAAAGTATAAATATCAATGTGATTCACCGGCCGCTCTGAAGTTTATCAAATGAATTTTTAAAACCAAATGTGGATTATCTCAATGATTAAAAAATCATGCTTATAACTTTTTCATGATTTCGATTGTTGTTCTTTTGAAAAATACAAAAATCATAATTTCAGTCAACAATTGCTGTAATTAAATTGTATGGCTCATGAAAAAATATGAAATGCCGTGGGTTTAGATTCGGTTTCTTCCACAAAAAAAAGCGACAAGTTATTTTTGCTCATGAATTTTTTGTCTCAAAATTTGAACCGAAATGAATGTGTTCCGAAAAAGATTTTGTTTTTTTTTTTGATCTCTTTCTCTCTCTCTTTCTCTCTCTCTCTCTCAAGTGCCTATGTATGGATGGAAATGTAAACGCGGTACACGTTTGTCTCATGAAAATTGTATGAGCCTCAATTTGATAAATGAACTATGAATGTCGCGACTCGCGCCTGAATATACATACCATACAATTGACAAAAGTAATAATCGTGTGTTTTTTTTCTTCCCCATTCGTTTGCTTTGCCTGTGACTGCATTGTAAAATGTTTTATATAAGCGGTGTGTTTTAAAGCGGTTAAAGTAGCGTTGATTGTTTGAATCTGAATTGTATTTAACTTTTTGCCATATAGAGGTACTAGTATATGTACGAGCGCATGTATTTATACTTGAACTTAGAATAGAAAAAAAAGTAATGTAGAGATAACTTTGGATTTATTTATTTGTGTTTGCTTGCCTGGCGCAAGCCACATTCATAACAAGGCAATGTTTTTTTTTCTTGGTTCGTCAACCAACGAGAATATCAATTAAAATGTTGCCAGAATCCGATTCATCTCTAAACGTCTAATTTTAAGTGACATTCCATAGCACAGAGAGAGAAAGAGAGAGAGAGAGAGAGAGAGAGAGAGAGAGAGAGAGAAAGAGCAAAAAAATCACAGCATCTTTTTTCTCCTCTAACTTGTCGGCCACATTGCGGTTAAAATGTTGAGCGCTTATTTTGTTACCGCACACATAACACGAGAATTCGGAAGACCGAAAGAAAGCAAAGCAAAATGATGTGATTCGAGAAAATTCTACGAAGAATACATATTAAAAGTAAAAAAGGTGTTTATAATGAGACTACGAATTGAGTTTTCGATTCAAACGCCACTACACACAAAAAATCGTCACACTGAACGTGTACACTAATACACACACATCTATACACACGATGCTATTTTGCTTCATGGAAAATTCCACACGCGATTTCACTTTTTTTTCATATGGCCGACGAATGTGCGAAACAGAGACGCAAATAGAAAGCAAAAGAAAAATTGCGAAGACGGCATCCGTTGCGACCTTTTTTTTATATGTCTATTTTATTGGCGAATTCTTTGCATAAGAACTTTAATGGTGAAAAAAAATAGTTTGTAGGGCGATTAATGAAATTGACAAGCATCGTTTTATATAAGATAAATCTGAACATGCTGAATAGTGCAAAATTTAGTAAAACGACAGCCGGCTTTCTGAAATTCGCATGAATAATGTCGCTTGAAATAGAATTTACTTCAAAACTTGTTTTGCTTTCAATTTTGTCTTCAAAGAAAACGCGCATTCAAATCAATCGTTCGACATAGAAATTCGGAAAAAAAACCCAATAAATTGTACATTTAAAAACCGGCATTTTTTCTCTATAGCCCAAAATTACACCCAACGGAGAAGAGATTATCTGCGCGCAAGACGGAACGAATGGTGGAAAAAATGGTTCACTTGAACTTGGACACTTTTTCCGCAAACTTTTTTTTTTATTCAGAAGGATTGTGCAACTGATACCAATGATAATAATGACTTGACTCTTTTTTTTTTCTCAATCGAAATAATTTTCGTGTGTGAATTTACTTACCTCAACGATAAAACGGCCAGCTGGCTCGTTATCGACGGCCATATCGAAAAATACACGAGGTAATCCCATTTTTTTATCGGCAAAGTTACGAAGACACAATTGAATTAAACTCGATTGACTTGCAAAATGGTTCTGATTCAGTGTATGCAGACGACCGATAGAATGTGCTTGCCGACACAGTGTTCCAGCGACGAGGGAAGCCATTTTTTTCGTTCACGTATTATGGCGTGCGTGCGGTTGTGTGCGTGTGGAAAATGTGAATGTATTGATGTGCGCTAGCTATGGATGGGCCTCGTGTGTGTGGCAACGAAAACGAAAAGTCAACCGGTATGAACGAACTCTATGTGATGTGTGTGAGTTCGGTCATCTAATTATCATCGCTTTCGTTTCAATTTCAATGTTCCGCATGATACTCAACCGGATACAATCGATCGGCAAACGCACACCATCCAATTCATCCAATGTAGATACGGTGAATGTCATCGTGTTTACACACTGAACGGTTTGGGGGCGCTGTTTCAAGCCGCCAACTCTCAAATGCAATTGCAACATATTTGTTATTTTTTTCATTGAATTTTTATTTATTTCTTCAGTAAATAAGGCACTATAAATTCAGTTCATTTGTTGTACTTCAATATTTTTTTCCCTACTTCTAATTTCTTTGGATGGATTACTATAAACGTAAAACATGTATGGATTGCATTTTGGATTTAGACGAACAATGTGACATCATCACATAGAAGAAAATTCAATTGAATTGAAAATTGAAATTGTCGCGTTCACTGGCTCGTTCATTGCGAATATTATCCCACAAGCCATCAACCGTGTAGCCCATCTCACGAAGTTCATTTATTGTCGTATCCAATCGTCGATCCAAAGCTGACAGAAAATCTATGTTTCTTCCATATTCCGACCGACGCCTAGAAGACATATATGGATACACATTAAGCAAAACTATCGACCAATTCAAAATAAATATATTTTTCCGCCGAAAATCATTTATAAATTCAAAACGTTCATAAATGCTGCATGCATTGGATTCAAATTGTTCGTCAAGAAAATTGATCAAAATTTTGGTTTTAATTAGGAAGTACTTACATCGTATCCAAAATTGATCGAAGAGATTGCATTGAACTTTCATAATCTACTTCTTCTTCTTCTTCAGTTGTTGATGTGTCTTCATCAGAAGCTGGAACCAACGAATCCTCGGATATCGTATCAATCGAATCAGCGTCGCTTTCAATTTCTTCCTCAGCAATTGAATTGTCTTCAGAGCCTGAGCTATTTTCGGGAGTGACATCAACTTGATGTAGAAACAAGCGCCGCATTTGGGTAACCGATGCACGACATTTTGGGCACGTTGTGGGTACAGCAGAGTGCATTTGTGTCGTTAACCATTGTCGCAAGCATGTTCCGTGGTAAACATGACCACAATTCACGGCAAACACTTTTTGGTTGATGTCAAAAGCATCGGAGCAAATAGCACAACCAAATTTGAACTGTGTGGCCATTTCTACACGAGAAAATTGATTCAATTTTAATATTTCAGTTTGAAACACAAGAGAAAAAAAGCTATGAATTTACTTAGTTCTGTGTTTTGTCTGATGATTTTGGCGGTGATATGACAGATGAAATATGATTCCTATTGCAGAAAATTGGCGTGTAAATACGACTCCAAACACGGTATCTCCGTTGATGCGACTGTATCTTATGAACGAATGCCAATAAGTGCAGCCAGTATGACAGACAATATTTCAACAGAATTTGTTATTCGATGCAAAACCATTTGGAGATAAGCACTGAATTACCGTTTGAAAATCATCACTTGCTCAATACCATAAATGACATGAACCGAGTGTTGATTTGTAAACCCGCTATTTTTATCATAACCGCACAAACTTCACGTCGAACATATGAATTGTACAACGTAAATGTCAGATGTTTTTTGTTTATTTTTTTTTTAATCTCGAACAATTTGAAATTGAAGTATTTACAACAATAGATTTGATTTGCTGATTGTGTTGTATAAACTCGGAAAAAAGTGAATATGGCATCGAAATCGGTAGTCATTGGTAGGTGTTTGCTATAATTCCCTTGGAAAAACTCTTTTGAAAAAGTAAACAATTTTATGTTGTTGAAAAGAACTTATGCGCATTATGTAATTTTTTTTTGTTATTTTAGGTGGTGGAACTGGGTTCATTGGAACGCATCTATCGAATTTGTTGAAGAAATCTGGTTACAATGTGCTTACAGTTTCACGATTGCCCGGTTTGAACCGTATTACGTGGCATCAATTGAATGAAAATGGTTTACCGAATGATACAGTAGCAGCTGTAAATGTCGCCGGTCAGAATGTTCTCGATCCGACACGACTGTGGACATCAGGCTTTCAACAAAATGTTTGGAATTCTCGCATTAATACAACAGCTACATTTGTTCGAGCCATCACAAATGCGAAAACAAAGCCAAATGTCTTTGTCAGCATCAGCGGCGTCAGCTTGTATCGACCATCAGATAGTAAAATTTACACCGAAGATGAGAAAGGCGAGGATTTTGATTATATGTCAAATTTGTGCTTGCATTGGGAAAAAGCGGCTGAACTTCCACCAGAAGTAAAAACACGATTGGTAAGAGCGTATTGAATTTGAGGTAGTTTATCACACTTCAATTAAAAATCATTCTTTCGGCAGGTTCGCATCCGCACCGGAGTTGTTATAGGTAGAAACGGTGGAATGATTAAATCGTTGAAGTTGCCGTTTTGGTTTGGCTTTGGTGGTAAAATTGGTGCGGGAACGCAACCATTACCATGGATTCATATCGAAGATCTCTGCCAACTTATCAAATATTCCATTGAAAATGACAAAGTCAATGGCGTCTTGAACGGTGTCGCACCGGATATCATTACAAACGACGATTTTACCAAGGTAAAAAACGTATGGAAATGACAGTAAAAATGAAGGAGATATTCTTGATTATTTTTTTTACATTTTGTCTCAGGCATTTGGATCGGTGATGCGTCGTCCGACATTTTTCACCACACCGGAATTTGTGATTCGAAATCTATTTGGCAAAGAACGAGCTGCTATCCTCTTGACCGGTGCCAAGATTCAACCAAAACGCACATTGGAGCTTGGATTTCAGTATAAATACCCAAAAGTGATCGATGCATGTCGTGAAGTGTGTTAGTTTTCTCAGGGCGCCATCAAGTGATATGGTCATGTCTTTAAATTATTTGTTCTCATCCCTCGTCCCACTTGTACTTATTGTCAAAATGCACTTCAATCGAAATACTGGGGAAATTTTTGTTTTCCATTAAAAGAATTATTTCAATCAAACTAAAAGCCCGTCATTTTTTCTTGATACATTTTTATTTATGAATTGATTTGCAAACATAAAACTTGTTTCCGTGTTAGAAGTATAGTTGTTTCTGCTTGGCATACAATGCCGAGCACTTCGTCTGAATCTTCCTCCATTGTAATTAGTTTCTGTTGCCCGATGCTAATTTTAGCGGAACTATTACGATTCTTCAGCCCAGAGGCAGATGCGTATGTACTCTTGTACACGAAGATGTGACGATGAGGCTCACAAATAATCGCATAGTTCATGTCCGGGGAACATTGCATGAATTTCTTTTGCTGTTTCGATGCCTGGATGTAGCCAAACGCATTCAAAGTCCCTTCATGCTTTATATTTAGCGTGACATCACTTTCAGCATTCGGTTGAACATATGGAAGCCAGACACAAGCATCGACATCATTCCGTAGAGCGAATGCCAATGGGCTGCCGGCACGTAGACTCAATGTGAATAGAACTGGGTTATTTGATCCCAAATTGGCTTTGTGTGTGGTTTGATGCGATATCGCGTCCATTCGAACTGAAAAAAAAGTTGAACAAATGGTAAATTAAAAGAAAACTAATGGAAAAAAAGCCGATTGAAATGGTTGCTCACCAAACGAATGCTCCTTATCCATGTCGACATCGCCAAAATCACAATCTTCCATTTCCGTACGCAAATTCGATGGCGGCAACGACAATTCTCGAATCGGTTGAAGTGGCATTTCGGATGGAAGAACGATGACATCCTTTAGCAAACTTGGCCAAGTGAATGACTGCACTTGTTTTATCAAAACCACTTCCAGCCATTCATTTCCCTGGAAATATTCAAAAAAGGTATGAGTCATTTGAGTCTTTTTTTTTATTTTATTTTTATTTTTTTTTTCATTGAAATGTTCAAATATTTCTTACCAAATTCCACGTAGTAAGGTCTTTATCAGCGCCTTGAAATAGATCTGCATTCAAAAGTGCTTCACTCTTGTGTCGCACTTGTAAATTGGCTCCGTCGCAAATCACCTTAATATCCTGTTTATTCGTTTCCTGTGGAATGTTGAAGTGAATGGTGATATCTTCATCGCTTTGTGTCCAATTCAACTCGGGCTTCTTTACATCTTGATCATTTTTGCCATTATTTTCTTCTTTCGGTGGTTCCTCTTTCGGACCGATTGGATGCTCGTTATCGAAGGTAAATTCAAATTTTCGATCAGCAGATATTAAAATTCCATTGCACTTCGGTTCGAGCACACAATATTCCGGCAATGTATTCCCCTTCAATTGTCTCACATGCAATTTACTCCAGCTGTTTGATTGTGCATCTCTCTTGATTGCGATCCAATCCAAAACCGCTTCAAACTTTTCATCTTCGTTGTCGTTGTTTTGTTGTATGCTCAGCAACAGGCATTGAATTTGATGGACGTTGTTGATGATTTCCCACCGTGCATCTTGAATGACAAATGGAATGGAATTTTCGAGAATTGTATCAGAGAAAATTGTTTTCCATTCTTCAACGCGATACCGGTCACCGGTGTTGAAAATTTTCAATCCACCACAGCCATCCGCAAACACGCTATAGAAATTAAGAAGCAAAAAAATATAGTTTGATTACTCAAAAAGAAAAAGAATGCAGACATAATCTATCTTCCGTACTTACCAAAATTTTTCCGACACAAAAGTTAAGCTGGCATTATAATCTCCGCGGCCAGTGTTTGGTTTAGGCACTTTGTGTACCGCTTTCACCGAACCAAGTCTCCCTGTTGTCGTATCATACCGCACATTCTGCACCGTCCAATTCTCATCGATGAAGTAGCATGAGTATTCTAGCCAGGGATCGTGGATCAAATGATTGTGAAGACTGAACAATTTTGCATGCAAAAATGTGTACTGATCATCGGAGGTAAACACACGACGTGGCGCAGCAGTTATTTCTGTTTTTAAAATCGGAACGGGATCTAGTGACAATTTGTATCCATCAAAATTTGGATTCAAAAGCAAATGGCTCGGTCGAAAGTCAATAATTGCCGGCGAAGTCATCGTTTTGTTCTTGAAAAACTTGAACAATTTTCGTTTTGTTTATGCACACGAACACTGTGTTAACTGACAGAGAACCCAACCTCAATAGTTCATTGTTGCGACGACAGTCGGTGTTAGATGCGACTTGTTGTCAACTTCATGCTATATCGCCGAAACGTCAGTCAGTCAAAGAGGCCTCATCAAAGGAAAACGCAACAATTTGCTTAGAGCCAACAAATTTATTTGTTTATAGACACAATGTCTTCGTCATCGGCATTAGAAAATTTAGAAACACAATTGGAAATGTTCATTGAAAATGTGCGGCAGGTGCGGATTATTGTGAGCGATTTCCAGCCACAGGGCCACAACGTTCTGAATCAGAAGATGTAAGTAAATATGAGTTAAAAATAGCTGCGACAAACACAGAAAGTTGCCACTCTAAAAGGAATTTGATTGAGATTTATGCTTTTGTTCATTAAAATTTGCTAGTGAATTCATATTCATTTCCAATTGATGAGTGCAATGAATTTCAATTAAGAAAATGAATAAAAGACGTGAAAATTAGTCAATTCTCATGTTTTTGCATCAATATCATTGATTATCTCCATTCATTCAATATCATTCTTCCCCTTTTTCAGCCAAAGCATGGTTACCGGACTGCAAGAGATTGACAAAATTAAGCCACAGGTTCAGGATGTGCATGTTCCATTCGAGGTGTTTGATTACATTGACCAAGGAAAAAATCCACAGCTCTACACAAAAGATTGCATTGAAAAAGCGTTAACCAAAAATGAAGAAGTGAAAGGAAAGATTGATTCGTATCGCAAGTTTAAGATGAACATGATGTTGGAGCTACGTAAAACGTTCCCAAATGAAATTGATAAATATCGAGTACTACGAGGCGATGGCGACGATAACGATAATGACAACGATGGTGAGGGAGA